CTGCATATATAAAGCATATATTATATTCTTAGTATAGTACAGATACTGCTCTGCAATTGCTTGTTTTCCACTTAACCTTCTGTTGAAAACATCCTTTTATACCAACTTATATGAAATTCATTTATTAACTTAACAATATTTTAACTTTATACATGGAATATGTACATTTAGTGACTTCCTTCTTGACGGAGAGCTAGGTTGAGGAGAGTATAACTCAATACAACCAGGTTATAACTCACAAAGAAATGCCTGCATCAGCTTTATTAACTTGGAGATTGTTTATCCATCTCTCAGAATGATCCAGAGCTCTGTCATTTTCCCTATAATTTTCCCTATTGGATGAAGGCACGAGGGCCTCATCCTTGGCCAGAAATCACAGATTCAACTCAAAATGTAAGTCCAAAATCACAGAGGTACCCAACTCTCTGGTTACAAGGCGGTGGAAATGCACATTCACATGAAACGGGCGTCTTCGCTCTTAGAACCTCAAGGCTGCTGTTCTCTGCAGAAACCAGTATACATCCTGCCAGGCCGAGGCCTGTCCTGGAGCCTGTCAGCACCTGGCCATCATCCACCACTCTTCTTGTCACTCATTATGGCCCATCCTTTCTTCCGTCTGTATCCCTAACGCCCAAACCAGACACATCTGACTTGCAAGGGCAGCAGGTGAGTCAACCTTGTGGCTAGGAACACAGAGCCAGGGGAAGTGCATTGCTCAGAGGGTGAGGCGGGGCTCTGCAGAACTTAGCCGCCGGCTGCAAACGTCAGTGGAAAGAGGCCTGTGGAGTCCTTAAACACATCCTCCACTTTGCTGGGCACCAGGGGAGAAACCAATTAGAACCCACTTGTAATTACTTCCCAATAATAATGAGTCTCACACAAAGAGCTTTTATAAACCTTGCCTACCTCGATGCTCACCCAGTTTTGTGAAGCGGGGATTACTAGCCCCGTTTGATAAATGAAGAAGCTGACTCATAAAGGACAGAGCTTGCAAGGGTCAGATCAGAGTTTGACCTCCAGGCTGGCCATCCCAATGTCATGCCCCAAGCAGGACTCTTCAGGGGGCAGGGACCTTTGGGAACTGACTGGGTTTCTCTAACAGGCCTGTGCCTTCCCCCTGAGCATTTCTGTGAAAATAGCCCCCATGACTTGCCATCACGGTGCCCTCTGCCCTTCCATCAGGTTGATAACGGCAACTCCAGCATCAGAAATCAGAGCATAGGGAGCAAACAAAGCCAGCACCCCACCTATGTTTCCTCAGTGATGAATGGACCAGCTGGGGAGAAGGCTGTCATTCAACACCCTGGCTCCTCCCACACTCCTGTTGGGTCTCCCTGGGCTTTGAGGGGACAGTAAGCTTACTGTTCAATGGGAAACCAACAAACGAGTCCGGAGAAGTTCAGCCGCCTTCCCACTTCTCCCCATCTTCAGCACCAATAACAGGCAAGCACCCTCACAACAGAGAAGATGTTTGGTTCACGCTTGTGGAGAATTCCACTGTCATCGCCCACCACCCACTGCCTCAGGTCAAAAAGGCACCGTCACCCCGATCACTCTCCGGGACAAGAAAGTTGCTGGGTCACTCAAATCGCTACTATCTACATGATTTTGGCACTGAAATTTGTCTCCCTGGGGCCCCGGAAGTCTTGGCCAAGATTTGGAGTTGGTCGTAATGTAATTAAACCTATAGATTCAAACGAGTTACGTTTAGCTGGAAAAACAAATAAGTCTACTCTTTCATCTCATATTCCAATGTAAAAACAGAAAAGACAACAAATGCATGATGTGCTGAGCTTGGTGGCTGTGAGCTGTGTTTTAATTAGAAGACACGTCCCTTCAAAATGCTGCCTTGGCTAACTGGGCCAGATTCCTCCTATTTGGGGACACCGGGCTATAAATAAATAAAAGCTTCCCATGGATGCATAACGGCTTGTCCGCTCTCTAGCTTCTGACACACCACCTTCCTCCCCACCTCGCCCCACACAGCAGGAGCGGCATATCAGTCAGCTGCCCGCTGGCCCATGAAGGGAGACAGGCCGAGGGCCCCACACAGAAGCCTCACAGAGAGACGTCAGGCCACATCTCCATCCCCGGCGCACTCGGGCGAAATAACAACCTGCAATGTCCTTTTCCCCTTTCGCGTCTGAATGTAAAAACAGGCCCACGCCTTGCACATGCTGTGCTAAGTTTTCTAGACAGGCATATAGAGTTACTGTCTGTAACTTTCCACGGGCCTCCTCGGATTACCATACATATTAATACGCACACCAGCATTTGAAGAAAGGAAAATAGGGGGTGCTTGGGCGATTATTTTTAATTGAATTCATCTGGGAGTTTTAAATCCTGGAAATCTGGCCCCTGTTTACAGTAACTGAACATTGGAACAGCATATAATTTTTGTCCATTTGAATGGCAAATCTCCCTTTTCCACTTAAGAGAAAGCTCTTGAGCGTGTAATGCATTTCAGAGCCAACTGTAAAAAGCATTACATCATAAAACTCTGGAATGGGACAGTGGTGACAATATTCAACCCTGCACACTCCTTTGGAAGCACTCGAGTCCTTACAGCTTCCCACTCAGGAGGAGGAGCCTCGTGTCTCTGTGAAGATGAGGCATGAGCCCTACTCAGTCGTGTCAGGACCGTGGCGACCCAGGAACCAATGAGCAGTTAAATGGAAGAATTCTGTGGGCATCTGAAACTACATCTTGCTTCTCTGCCTTTTAGCAAGCCACTCCGGCAATGAGTGAGGCTCTGCGGTGGGATACGTATGTCACCATTTCTGAACAGGACATCCCTGTCACTGGTGGCTTGAAAAGTCCCCAGCCTGTTCTCTACAGACCCATTCTCCAGAAACTAGCTAGCCAAACGCCAGATGCCCAGGTCTCCCTTCTAACCGATCACACTGGAATTTATTCTCACAGAGAAACTCAGTGAGGTAATATTTCAAGTGCCCAAGCAGAAATCTAGAAAAACATGGTGAGCCTCTACCTTCTGGGTTTCTGGGATCTCTCTTGCCCCATCAGCCTCCTGCATTCTCAGGACCATGTGCACAGGGAGTCCGATCACGCACTGCACAAAAGTGCTGCAGTACGTCCACATCGCACGATGGAGGTAGGAGATGGTGTACAGAGGCGTGCAGATTCTGGGCCTCCCCGCTGAGCAGGACACACAAGGCCAAGAGCTCTCGGGACAGCCAGCACAGACTCACTGGCAGCAGCACACACATGTGCAGGCTCTCTGACCCAAGCACGCCCTTTGCATCTTTGTGATCCTGTCTCTCACCTGCTCACCATGACCAGAGCCTCGGTTCCCCCATCACAGGGGAAAAATAGCCATCTCCCTTGCGGAGCACAGGGGAGAGCATGGAGGGATCTGAACGATGCAGGTCATGTGTGTACTCAGCCCTCCTGCAGGTGCAGGCGTGCTCACGGCCAAGGCTGCTGCCCTCTGGGCTCCGGGAAGCTCCCTGGAGCAAACCTCCTTCATCATGCATCGTAGGATTTTTTGTTAACTTAACGACAATGGACTTTTTTTCTCCCTAATTCACAGCCCTGTGAGTTCTGTTTCGCCTGTCCTTTCCATGCCATGGCTTCTGCTCAGGTGCTCCTGCCCTCCTGGAGCCCCAAACCAAGACTTAAACCCAGAATACCCGACAGCTTCTCCTTCTGGGCAACATGACTACACCTACAGCTGGTTGTTTCTTGTTTCGCTGCCTTCTCTCTTACCAACTTCAAAAGCCGGCTTCTCTTTCCTCCTGACCTTAGTCAATCCTGTCTTTGTTTCAGAGGCTTCTGTACTTTCAGAGTTGGGGGAAACGGAGAAAATCGTTGCCCCACTTGCAGATGGGGATGCTGAGGTGACCCGGCTTATCAGTGACAAACTCACACTTCTAGCCTTTGCTGCTCAAGCTTTTTTCATTTCACCACACGGCTTGCCCCACCCCCGTCCCACGAATGGCGGGTCACTAGCATCACATACAGCCACCTGGACCCCTCAGCTGGTAGGATGTGTCTGAGCACTGTACCAGAGACAGGCCCAGAAGAACCCACTGACTATGACCATGTCGACGCCACCCCCCAACTGCTATGAACACACAGGCTCTCTCCCGGAGGTCAGGCCAGAAGAGGCCAGGGAAAATCCTTGATCCTCGGAGGGAAAGAACTCACAGTTCGGAAATTTGCAAAAGGCACCTGGGCACAGAAAGGCTGGTCCTCGCAGTCTCCACAAAGAAGGCATATTTTTACTGCAGCCACGTGGCGAGGCAGTCGCCTTGTTCAGGCCTCGCCACACATGCACATCTGAAGCAGACCCTTCTTTGAGGAGATCGGCTGCTGGTGAGTCACCTTTGACCTGGGAGTCTAGAGACCAGTGAGTCCGATCGGGTCACTGTGCCCAGGTCTTCCTTCTGTGAAATGACACCCCTTCCAACTTGAGGACTCTATAATTCTATTAAAGAAAAAAACCACAACACCTCGCTTTGGGACCAAACAGCAGGCACCGAAGTAGCAGGCGTAGTCACGAGGGGGCCAAGCACGAACCTGCAGCAGGAGGGCACCCTTTGCCCTGCAGGCCACTGGGTCCCACTCACGGTTTTCCTGCTTTCACACTGCCTGCTCAGGGCTGACATCACACAAGGCACAGGCCAGGCCAGAGGCTCTGGGACATCCCACAGTCGGATGCACCAGGTCTTGGGACCAGGGTCCCTAATCAACGTACCTGGTACTTCCGTGTTCCCCTTTCAAGGCTGAGATGGAGCCATGCAAATGACAACTGAATGTAATTCTCTGTTATTTCTGACGCAAAGTGCATGAAAGTAGAGCCCGTTACCAGATTGCATCGGCCTAGTCAAGAATTAGACAATCTTGGCTGCAATGAGGCAGGAAAGGTGCCCGAGAGTCAGCTCCCTCCTGCCTGTGGTCTGAAGCCTGGGTCACCCTTGGCAGGGGGCACAGAGGCATGTGTGCCTGGGGGTGTGAGGGCAGGGGAGATGACAACTCACGTGGCTCCTTTTGCTCTCTTCATCTCCCACAGACGTAATCACCGTCTCTGAAAAGACTGTTTGTCCAGTCTGGTTGTTGGTGATCTGCAATAATAGAACAACAAGGTGAATGCGAAATAGAAGGAATGCTGGGAAAATCCAGCAACTCTTTTTTCCTGTTTTCTGAAGCTGAGGCATCCAGCCAAGCAGACAGACTGCCCACTCCCCTCTCTCTCTGAGTTCCAGCAGCAGCCCTCAGATGAACAGGTTCCCCTCCGTGCAGTGATAATAGATGTAACAGAGTCTACCTCACAGGGCTGCTATGTGGCGCGAAGAAGTGGTCTGTGTAAAGCGCTCCACACAAAGCCCGTCACCTCGCAAATACTCAGTGCTGGCTATTTTTATCATTCTCAGGGTGCCTCACTTGAAACCTAAGGTAAACTTTCTTTTCAACAGCTACAGGTCTGGGGGTCTAACTGAACACATTTCATGAGAAGCAGGCAGCTTTTAGCTGTAGCTGCCCCACTCTGGATTTGGGTAACTCAAACGTGGCTCAGTGAAGGACACAGATCAACAAAAGCCCCCCTGGGATGACTGAAGGCATCGCTCAGATCAATGAAGGAAGCACTCAGACCAACTAACGCAGAGTCCCTGGGGAAAGACCTACGCCTGGCTAGTTCATGAAGCTCCCCAGAGAGTGTAGCATGCAGGCAGGTGTGAGAACTGGATCAAAGCTCTGGCGAGCTCTAAAAACTGCCCAATATCAATGATAGAAAACCCCTGAGGACTGGGCTGGGGTTGGTTAAATGTTACAGGCTCCCCGGGCAATTCTGAAACACACTGGGAATTTAAAACCAGTGGTATAATGTATACCTTGCCCCCCTGGGGATTTCAGTCAAGGGAGGGGGAAAAGATGACTTATATGTGAAACTGTTGAGAAGTACAAGAAAGTCCATGTTTGAATGTCAAAAAATGAATAAAAGACAAGGAGTGGTAAGAAAATAGAAGTGCTAAATATTTAATGATAAATACAAATAATTTGTATTGTTTAAAAAAGTACTTAAGTAGCAGGAGAGACCTGGCCCACTGTTCCTATCTGTCGTCTGCCTCTGATTCTGTACGCAGAAGCAGGCACCTCAGAGCTGAGCCTTTGATCCTGATGTGGAGCCCAGGCCGTGCCGGCCCCTGTCAAGGCCACGTCTAATGTTTAGGTTCAGGATGAAGAACAGAAAGATTGCTGACCCCAGAGCTGGGAGATCTGTGATCTCCGAGCCTTGGCTCCGCTGCCAACAACCATCTGCTTTGTAACAGGAACAAGTCATTCCCTTCTCTGATTCACGATTTCCTCATTTCTAGGCGACCTTTAAGGTTCCTGCCAGCTCAGTATTGCAGGAACCTGCAGCCAGAACAAAGTGGGAACTCTCAGCCTAATTTATGGTAGTGGATCAAGTCCCATTTCTAAGGAGTTAAGAATCATGTCTTCATCCACATACTTCAAAATTTTTGTCTAAATAGTTCCTCTCCCCAACAAAAACATAATGTCTTCTCCCTGTATTCCAAATTTTAATGGAATTAACCAAAGTCATATTTTTAAGAAATTCTGCAGTCTTATGCATACAGGTTATAGGATGTCTCAGAACCTATTATACTAACATGGATTTTTGCATCTACGTGAGGAGAAACTATACAATGTTTTCACATATGTTCCACCATGCTGAGCCCTCTGTCCTGAAGCACTCATCGCACAGGACAGGGCTCCATGGAACCCGCTCGGGGACGACTACACTGTGCTGGTAACATAACTTTACTATAACAACAGCCGTAATAATAAAAACAATTTGCTGTGGCATAGCACTTTACAGTTTACAATGAACTCTCATATACTTTAGGACATTTGACCTTCACGATACTGTAATGCAGCTGCTGATACTCCTATTTCATAAGTGTGGTCACTGAGGGTCAGGACATTTGCATAATTTTTCAATATCACAATAGTTACTGGGAAAACTCACACTTAAATATTCTGACATCTACAGGGAGCAACTTTAAAAAACAGTTGAACTCATTGACTAATTATTGTCAGAAAGGGTGACTTAATATTGGTTTTGACGAGAATAAAATAATCACCTTTGGAAATATTCCCCGGTCTTTAGATGAGAAATGCTAAAAGATTCTGTTCAGTGGATGACTCGTTCATATATCTGGGGGAGGGGTACGCCCTGGAGCCAGGCCCATTAATCAGTATGCAGCAGGAGAAGAGCCAAATGCAGAAGCTGCTTTACAGTCAAGGCAGTGGCCCATGAAAATTGACCCGTTTGTGCGCTATGGTGCAGCAATGCTATTGTCTCAACCAAGTCATTACCTGAACACTTGAATGAAAGTGAGGCTGTTTTGTGAGCACTGTCGTGGCCTTGCATAGAGGAGCTGAAATGGGATCAGAGGTCAAGCTCCTTGAATGGCCACAACAGAACGGCGACTCTACAGCCTCTCCCAGTGATCCTGAATGTCTGCACAGAGGACTCCTCAAGCTAACACAGGCTCGCAGAGCTTGCTCTCAATGTCCTGTCACAGTCTCCTTGGGGACATCTCACCGCAGGAGTATGCTAACTATGTGCCTCTAGATTTGCAGTGTTTTCTTCCTCAGGTTGGTTCTGGAATGAAACTGCTTGCTTTTCTTGCAAGATATTAGACCAAGAGACAGGTGGCACGTTGGAAAAACTCTGCTGTAGAATTTTAAATGGATAACCAGCAAACAAGATGCTTAATCTTGTGGCAACTGAGGCTTTCCCTTCTGGAGACAGAGTAGATCCCATGTGAGTTCCTCCTAAGGAAACAGTAACACGGACTCCGGAACTCTATTTCAACTCTACAGAAACATAGATAAAAACCAACGAGATAAACTCCTCAAGTCTAATACTAGGAAAGTACAATGTATCTCTGTAGGCCCTTGGTGTTTTTTTTTCCTTTTTTCAAGTAACAAGAAATCCCTGAACATTCTTTTGCAATTGGACTGGCAGGAAGCCTGGAGTCATATTTATTGCTTAAATGTAAAAGCAACTTGGGTTTTTGATACATCTCTTTCCCCTTTAACAGTTCCTCCACTCCCTCTGGTCTGTAATCTGTGCTGTGTTTTTGGATTGTGTATCAAATATGTAAAGAAAATCTTAGTTCTCGGATGGGACTGGGCATTGTAGAAAGAAGGAAGTGCTGGCCATGAGTGCCCTCACCTTGTGGATTTCTCGGTGCACGTGGACGGTGTTGTTTCCCACCTTGGTTTCTGTGTTGGTCTCATTGTGATAGCTGGGAGGCAAGTCTGCCAGGCTCACTTCTGAGGACATCTTAGCAGCAGCTTCTTCCGCCTCCATCTATTAAGTCAGTAAATTAAATGAGCAAAATTGTTTTCTCTTTATACAAGTCAGAGTCCATTAGGGGGAAAAAAAAAAACTATGGGGATGTAAAGTACAGCGTAGGAAATACAGCCAATAATATTGTAGTAACTATGTACGGTGCCAGGTGGGTACTGGAAATACCAGTGGGAACACTTTGTAAAGTATGTGATTGTCTAGCCACTATGCTGTACACCTGAAACTACTTCAAAATTATATTGAATATAAGCTGTAGTCAAAAATATTTCTTTTACTTTTTTCATTGACTTTACTGGGGTTACATTAGTCAATAAAATTATATAGGTTTCAGGAGAATTCTGTAAGACATCATCTGTATTGTATATCACATTGTGTGTTCACCACCCTAAGTCATGTCTCTTCCCGTGACCATGTATCCCCCCTTTACCTTCTCCTGCCTCCCCTCACGCTCCCAAATTTTTTTTAAAAGAAAAAAAAAAGAACTACTTCCCTTTTCCTATTTGCAGTTACAACTATTGATAATAATGATAGGTACCTTTAATTGAGTACCCACTAGGAAAAGACATTGTATTAAATGTTTTACATATATCACAGCCACAAATCTCACAAGCTCCCTATGAGGTGGGTATTTTATAAACAGGGCACCTGAGGCTCAGGGAGAGTAGACAACTTCCTGAGACTCCCAGTGAAGAGCAGAGTTGGGATGTGAGCATGTTCCCATTGCATAGTCTTGGCCCCTGCACAAATGCTGTGGGTGCCCTGCTCATCTCCTCATGGCCCCATCTGGAGGTCACCTGTATTCAATTCTCTTCCATGCCAACAACCAACTCTGTCCCTCTCTGAGGGTAATCTCTAGTTGCTGAAGTGTGCTCAGTGTGCACAGACCCCCAGTGCAAAAAAGTTAACCAGGAACAATGCTCAACCAGTGTGAGCCGGGTGATGGGGTCAGTACTCAGCTCCCTCACCTCTCAACCAGACGGTCTCTCTCTGAGGACCCCGGTGGCATCGAGCCCTAGCTGCCCTGAGCAGCAACCTTCTCATCAGCACAGTCTTAATTGTTTTTCTTCTCTTCCATCTCACTTTTCCACTTCTTCCTGGTGTTTCTGGGATTCCTTCCAAAATAAATTATTTGCTCCCAAACCTTTGTTGCAAAGATTTGGTGGTGGTGGTGGAGAGGACCCAAACTAAGGCAGCCCCTTACCCCCTACAAGTAGGGCTACGGCTATGTCTCCTTCCCCACTCCACCTCTCAGGTATAAAATGACCCTTTTGGAGAGGATTGGTTGACTCATCTTCACCTGATTTTTCCTTCCAGATTTATCACCCTGTCCCAGCCCTGATGAGTGGGCAGTTGACAACATGACCTATTCACAGCTGATTGGACTCAAAGGGAAGCCACATCATGAAATAGTTGAGCCAATCAGATACTCTCTCCAGGAATCAAAAATCAGAGACACAAAGAGAAGTTCCAGTTGGTAGTTGGCAATTTTCCTACACTGCTATCTTTCACTCTGAGCTATTTTCATTTAAAACTAATGAAAACTGATCCTATTTAAAACTAATCCTCAAAAACATGCCCCCCTTTTTATTCAAAAATCACTGTCCTTTCTCTCCTTATGTACTTACACGAGGCCCCTCTTTTCTCTCCTCTTCCAACCAGACTTGCTGACAGGGTTGGATATTGGACATGAATCTCCATGTCTCAAAAACACTGAACCAGAAGTGTGGAGAAATTCAGATAGGCACAAAGGCCCAGATAATCCTAAAAGGACTTGGTCAGTGACTGCTGTGTTTGACCCTGAGGTGACTGCTGAGATGTTTAAAGTCGATCACTGGCTTCATCATCATCATCGTCGTCGTCTTCATCACTATAGCCTCCATGTTTGGACATAAGCTGTGTGTGCGCCATTGCCCCAGATACCTACCATGCCTCCTTGAATATTCACAGCAATCCTATGAGGAAGTTGTTATTTCTCTCATTTTGCAGATGAAGGAAACAAGGTTGAGAGAGGCTAAGGAGACTGCCTTAGGGCATCACACTGTTAGTAAGGGGCAAAGCTCAAACTGGAACTCAGGTCAGTCTGTCTGCAAACTGTGTGCTGTCCCAGTACATGATTCTGCCCGAGTGGCTTATGCTTTTCCTGAGGAGATAGGACAGCCCCACACAAACCAGTCTGAGGAGAATTATGATTGTCTCTCGAAGCAAGTAAGGGGTTCAAAGAAGAGAGGAGAAAGGCTTCCAGGAGCAAGAGGAGGCATGATTGGGTTGGTCTAAAAAATGGGTAGGATTTAGATACAGAGGAACCCAAAGATGGCAAAGTTGGCAGCCTGGACAGCAATGGTGTGTGCTGAGAGCTACCACAGAGGGTCCGTGCTGGACACAGCATAAAGTGGTGGATGACGAAGCAGAGAATGTTCAACAGGCAGATCCAGGAGCAGTTCTAAAAGCAGAGGTCATTGTCCTGGTTCTCAGCCAGGAGGGTACAGCAGTCATGGTCCAAACTTTCAATATATATGAGTATATATGGATCCCTCACCAGACTTGTGACATTAGAAATTCTGGGGGTGGGATCTCAGATATCAATGAGCTTCTCAGATGATTCTGGGGTCCTCCCTGCCTCCCACTTGCTCCCAGGTAAGAACCTCTGCTCCAGGTCATAATGGGGACTTGTAGCAAGTGCTGAAGACTAGTTGGGAAATCATACAGCCAGAGAAAGGAGAGAATACAGTCAGAGGGCTGGCTAGAACCGGGTCTGGGGGTAGGAAGTTATGGCTGGGGAGGGGACTTCTGGGTGGCAAAGGCTCCAACTATGTCTAGAAGGACAGACCAACCCACTGAGGGCTGACCACAGGATAAGGCAAAAAAAAAAACAAACAAAAAACTGCCACCAGGGTCTTCAGAGGGCAGCACAATAGATAGTGCCAGGGTCCTAGAGGCAGGTAAGGTGGGGCCAAGGCCAGGCTCTGCCACAAAGCAGCTGCGTGACTTTGGACAAGATGACAAATGTTTCCTAAACCTCAGCTTTCTTTTTTATAAAATGGGGGATAACCCTACTCTGCTGAGCAGATGTGAGAATTAAGATCACAAAATCCAAGTGCTTGGTTCAGTATTTGCCAACCAGCAATGGTGTAATAAATAGCTATGGCGAGTACTCTCCCAGTACTGCCCTTTAAGAAGGCAGTTTCAGAAGGTAGCTTGCCAGGGAAGGTTTGGGTAGAAGTGGAAAAAGCAGACTCTATCATGCGTTTGAAGAGTTTGCTAACAAATTGAGAAGACGTGGAATGGATTCAAGAAAGGAGACAAAGATGGGCAAGAAAACGACCTCAATTTTTTTTGTAAGCGAGAGAGCCTGGCCTGTTTAGGCAGAGCTGGAGAACAGTAGGCGGCTGCAGGTGCTGCAGTGCTGATTATCCAGAAGGAGATGGGAATGTCTTCATGTTTTTAACTTTCCCATGGGAATCTGAATCTTCCAGTTTGGTTTTCAAATAATTGACAAGTTACCAAATCTAGAGTTTCTTCTGGGCTGAGCAGATAGTCTTCTCATAAAACCTCCCTCTCAACCAGTGGTTATTTCAACAGAATGAGCTAACAGTTCTTTAATGGCACCATGAACTGAAAGTACAGTTTGCAGCGGAAATTTCAACCACAACTATTATTGCCACTAGCAAAAAAAACGTAAGCAATAGGACTTGTTTCACAGAGGAGGAATGTGAATGTTACTTAAAATGGCATTTGTGGTTGGTTCAATCTGTGTGTCAAAGGAGTACAGTAGGAAAAACTGAAAGATAAATCCAGGCTTGGTATTGGGGTCCTTCCCGGGAATATTCTAAAATATACCAGTTACAGACAAGGCAATGAGTGTATGGGGGGTGGGGGTGAAGTGGTTTTATCCTCAAAATACATTTGTCAGCAACTTACAGAATAAGAGAGGAAACCAGGGGCAGCCTGGACTGCACCATGTGAAGATTAAACTCCCCCAGTAATGATGCCATGAGCAGAGTTACCTTCGTCTCCCCCACTACAGACATCCACAGTGGAGTCAGCTGGAATATTTAAAATGTCAGGAAGTCACTTGAAAGCAGATTCATGATGCAGCTATGTAAACAGTTAATACATCTGGCCCAGTCCTTTTGGTTCTTACCCGGGACAAGAGTAAATAGCAACTGTCCTGTGTTTATGAGATTTAAGGGGCCTTTTGGCAGTCTCTTTTAAAAGACAATTAATAGCAATAGCCACAATCTCTTGAGAATCTATTATATATTAGACTCTGGTGGTTCTTTGTTATTATTCATCCTAGCACTGTTACTATGATGACATCCTAGTACTGTTGATATGATGATAACAATAGCCATTATTTATGAGTAACAATCTCCTTAACCCTTAAAACAACCCCATTAGACGCTGACTTATCCCAATTAAACTTAACCCCATTTTAGATGGTCAGACGACTTGCTTTACTTGCATCCTTCCATTTAATTCTCTCTTTTACACTAAGTGTAGACATTTCCTCCATTCCAGAGCCTAGATGCCACCGCTAGTAAGTGACACAGCTGGGGTTGTGTAAAGGAAGGTTGGTCCCCAGGGCCCGTTCTCCTGCCACTCAGGTGTTTAGCCTCTCTCTCAACCTGTCCCCATTGCTAGTGAGGACACTCTTTGGGGAACAGCCACTGAGTGGGGTGGAAGTGGTAGCCAGTGTCTACCCTGGTGGCAAACTTCATTTTGCCCCTCTTCGCAAGTTAAACAGAGTCACATCGGGAGAGAGGACAGCTGGGGCCTGGGCAGAGCCAATGTGGACAGTTCCCATAGAGCGGGCCCTGCCATTAAGGTCCTGCAGGGCCCCAAACTGCTCTGATCAGTGAAGATCCTGAAGGGTCCCTGCTGCTCCCTCGCCAGGGGCTCCCGTCCGAGGGCCACGTTGCGTGGACCAGCACCCACTGAATAAAAACATGGCAGTGACCTAGTCAGTGTCACTGAGAATCTACATGTGGGAGGGAAAACTCTGGAATCCAGAGAAGATCGGAGGGATCACAAGTTCAATTTAATCTGAAAGTACAGAATTAAGGGACAGTGGGGGCCTGACTCCCCTCCCTCTTTAATTGTTCCGTGTCATGATTCTTGTGTTTTAACAGGAAATAGAAAGTCCATGGGTTTGGAATCTGGCCCGTGCAGTGAGTGTTCAGGTACAGCTGCCCATGTAACAACAGCCTCCCAGTCCCACGTCCCCCTCACTGAAAACTCTGGGTTGATTGTAACCAGGAGGAGGGGCTATATCCCCAAACTACACAGGGGTGAGGGGATAAAGCAACTTCTGAGAGACCTCAGCCAGCATGGGAGGCTTTGCCCAAATGGATGTGAAGACACCTGACCCATCATCAGCCTGGACAATCTCTTGCTAACTCCTTCTCTCCAAAGACAGGCTGCAGCCAGACCTGGGCCTAACTGTGACTATGCCCCCAGGCTGAGCTCTTCACCCACCCCAGGAACCAGGAACCCGGAACCAGGAATCAGGGTGGGGAGACCTGGGCCAGCAGCACCTTCCAGCCTGGCAGGCCTGGCAAAGTTGTATACCCACCACAAAGGATGCCAACCAGAGTTTGGACCTGGGAGGTGACAGAAGGAAGAAGCCAGGCAGTTTTGCCTCGGTTCCTGGTATCTGATACTATCAGCTGCTATATGTTATATGCCAGGTGCCCACGCATATCACAGCACTTGACACAGGAAACAGAGGTACAGGATGTTAAGGGATTTGTCCGATGCCACCTGTGAGTGGCAGAAGAGGACCTTGGGCCCGGGACTGACTCCAAGGCATTCTTGGGGTGGAGGTGTGATTACTTTTCTTATTACCCCTCCTCCTCCCACCCAGCACGTTCTGACCTTTCACACTGCTGGGCTCAGGATTCCGATTTTCTTTTCTGCCCCACATGGCTTTGGGGGAAGTCTACAGAGATGACCAGCAAAGCTCAGGGCTCTTGGTCCCCACGTGGCATCTTAACTGTGTCTTGGGAAGATGGCACAAGCTCAAGCCCAGTGGACAAGCTGGAACGTGAAATGCCTGGAGGTTCCTTAGCCTCTCTGTAAAACCACGGCGTTGGAATACCAGGGGCCTTACAAACATCTGCTTACAACGCGGGGGCGGGACGGCACACGTGAAGAAAACTGGGTTGTGGTGGGCAGTCTGCAGTCGGATGGTGACCCAGAACTGGCTGCCCGTGGATGGGTCCAGCCAGAGGCTACTCGGTGGACAGGCTCACATCCAGATCTTTTGGCAGGGAGGCAGACGAGGTGGGAGGTGGGAGGTGGGATCATTCCGAGCTGCCTCCAGATCACTCTGATTCTGTGGCCGGCCCTTCCCAGCCCCTTTGCGAAACCTAGGACTCTGACTAGCTCGGAACCCTGCTACGTCCCGCTGCCTGGTCTTCCCCAGCCCCGAGCCTTGTGCTTCCCAGAGCCCTGCGGCGCACCCACCTCCTCTACCGCGCTGCGCAGTTTGTGCTGCGTATCCTCCATCAGCTCCTCTACCTCGCGGAACATCTCGTTGAGGGTGGCCTCCTCCAGCGGGTAGCTGAGAGCCGGCCCGGGTTCGGCCGGAACCGAAGTCGCTGTCGGAGTCGGCGCGGGCGCCGTGGGGACTGCCGCCGCCAGCAGCAGGCACAGAAGGGTGCTCCCGGGCCGCTGCATCTCCGCTCTGCGCCCTGCGCCGCTGCCTCCGCCTGTGTTCCAGAGCCCGGTCAGAGCGCTCCGACCACCCTCACAAGCCTCACCGCCCCCCTCGGCCTCCCCGGGCACTCCGAGTCCAGGTCCGCCCCCGGCGCCTCTCTCCCCCGCACCCACCCCAAGATGCGAAGAAACCGAGTGCCCCCAGGACGCAGCTCCCTCGGACCGAGAAGCAACGCCTCCATCCCGCCCCGCGCTCTCACGCCCTGATCCCCTCCGTACCCCAACCCCATCCTCATGCAGGGGCTGAGCTCTGCACCCGCGCCTGGTGATGGCCCCCTGCTTCGAGTATCCGAACCCCGGTTCCTTACACTAATAGCCCTCAGCTCACCCCACCTCCTGGGTTCAGCGGTTTCGAGCCCTGCCCTCTCCTCGAACAGGTCAGAGCGTAGCTCCAGTGCCGCTACCCTGCGCCCGCCGCAACCCTGCCCGGGCCCCACCTGGGTGGTCGGAGCGCAGGTCCACACACTACCCTCTGGTTCGAGCCCCAATCGAGCGTCTGGCCCCTCACCCACCCAAACGGGATCAAGCAGAGTCACCCCATCCACGCCGCCGCCCCTCACCCACCCGACCGGACAGAGCTGTGCTCTGGGCTGGACCTGCCGGGCCTCGCGGGTAGGCCGCCGGGCTGCGGAGCCGGAGCTGCGCGGTGGGCGGGCCGCGAGTGCAGGAGCGCGGCGGGGATGCGGCGGCGCTGGTACCCGAGCGAGCTCCAAGTGCGCCCCGCCCGCCCGCCAGCCCGCCCGGCCCCCGCCCCGCGGGACAGGCCGCGCCCAGCCCGCTGCCATTGGCCACCAGCGCCGGCGACCTCACGCCCCGGGCCTGCCTCCTCTGCCTCCGAGATCCAGTCTTATAGGAAGCCGCCCCCTTCTCTTAATCCCCGCATCCCAACCCATTGCCTCCTCTTCCTAAGATTCTTCCCACAGCGCAGTACGGGGAACCGGGAAAGGGGTGGGTTCCTGCGTCCCACCTGGCCCTCTCCAAGCCACCCTCCACTCGGCGTGTAGCCCTACAGGGTGAACTCCCAGCCCCTCAGTTTGGTGTTCAAGGCCCGTCAGACGCTGACCTGTATCTGCCTGCCCCGGCTGACACCGCACTCCAGCCAAGAAAACCCACTTGGAGCTCCCAGAATAGGCCAGGAGAAGGTCAGCGAGCCTCTCGAGGGCGGATGCCGCGTGGTGAGGGCCAGGCCGCAGCCAGGCCACCTGGGGGAATCCCAGCTCGGCACTTTGGGACCTCGTCTGGCCAGGTTACCAGCCCCGCCTGCGCGCCTGGGAGCCCGAATGTAACGGGGAGGTTCTGGTTGCAAGTGCGCCTCACAGCTAACGAGCATAGCGGGCATGGGGAGTGTGCGGCACGCGTGGGCTATGTGTTCATTGTCGAAATGGGAACAGAACCGTCTTGTTCACAGCCTTTTCCCCAGCACTTAGAACAGGTGGCACTGTTTTTTAAAAAAACAATTTTAAAACCATGTGCGTGCAGAGAACAGAGATTTCTCACATATTTTTTTGAATAAGCCAGTGTTTTACGTGTCAAACCTCCTCCTATTTCTTTCTATTGCTCTTTCCGCCTGGACATTGTTCTGGGACCATGAGCTTCCCTATTGCAGCCCTGGCTCGCTATGATCTACCTGGTCCCTGGCCCGTTTCCCCGGAGACCAGGAGCACCGGGGGAGAGGAGGAGGCAAGGGCAGACTTGCTCACTTTTGTGTTACCAGGGCTGGAACCATAATACACACTTGGCCCCTGAGAAATGGGTGGGCTGATTAATATAACAATGGCTATCCATACATCGATACAGCAGCACCATCACTGAGCACTCAGCTATGTGCCAGGAACAGGTACAACTCATTTAATTCTTACCTCTGAGGTTGGTCCTGCAACTTCTATCCTCATTTGTAAAATGAGGACACTTTCCTGAGGCCACATAGATACTAAGTGATTTTGAACCCGGGAGTCTGGCTCCAGAGCCTTCAGCCTTCACCGCCAGCCTCCTCTGCTATAAACCTGGCTGGGACATGTTGCATATAAAGATGTTTACTGAAGCACTATTTCAACAGCAAAAACGTGAAATCCACGTAGTAGAGTTTATGAATAGGAAAATGGATAAACTGGGATTTCTACAAACAATGGACTACAGCAGTTAAAATACTGAACAATATTTCTAGGCAACAACTGGGATAAATCTCAAAGAAACATAATGTGCAGTGGAAAAGGCAATTTGCAGAATGGTATGTACAGAATACTATGTGTGCGCATTTTGAAAACACAAATCAACGGTACATATTGTGTATGGGTGCTACAAGTACAGTAAGAAAGTACAGAGACGGGCAGGCTGCCTCCGAGGTGGAGAGCAGAGGAAGAGACAGGGACCATCTACAGTTGCATGTGTAACACTCTACTTCTCTGTGTGAGAGAGAGCGCACCAGTGTGCAGGAGCGCTGGAGCACCAGTGTCCAAATACTCACGTCTGCTTAATCAACACAGTCGATTAATTACACGTAGGTGTATAGTGTGTCTGTTGTATGATTTCTGATTTATTTAATACAGTTGGTGAAACAACTGTATTAAATTTGAAACATTTAGACATTGAAACAAATTTGAGACATTGAAACAAACAAACAAACAAACAAAGCAAAGGGCAAACTCCCCACTCCCCGCTCACAAAGCCAAACAAAAATCCTCTTATGGCCAAACAGACTTTTCTTAGATCTGTTCTTGACAGAAATACTAGCTTCCTGCAGGCCCAGCAGCGGCCTGCACTGCTGTGAGGTGAGGCTGGGATGGCAGGGGTCGGGGGGTCCACACAAGGCCCAGGTGGAGTGGCGTTTCTCTTCATGAAAGGCCCTCTGTCTGCTGGAATGGTGGGGAGCTTTCCTCCCGGGGTGGGTGGGAGTGCCAGGCGGCTGGAGCCAGTTAATGCTCTGGGCAGCGGATAAGGCTTATCAGTTCCCTTCCCTGGGAGGGGACGGTACAGAAACCTCAGATATCCAGAATGTACAGACAGCACTGGTGATGGTTACGAACTGATTTTTAACACTTAACCATTCATAATAATTAATTAAACCAGCGGAGAAATGTGATTACACATTTCTCTCTTTTTCTTTCCTTTCCATCTTGTATAAACTGGACTGAACATAACTTGGGAAAGTGTGGAGTAGGCTCAGAGATAACGTATCTGCATGACTGCTTAGTATCTGTTTCCCTTGCCAGAGTGCAAGCCAAGTGGGATTGCACAGGACGGGAGATGCTGGTCCCTGCCACCGTCTCCAGTCCCGCTGGGGCCTGCAGAGCATTAGCATGCAATAAGGAGATGCCGAATGAACAAGGGGCCTGCCAGAGGCGGGGGTCCTGGCCCACAAGGAGTCTACAGGATGTGAAAAAACAAGGAAGTAAGCAGATAATTCCAGGACGGTAAGATGGAGGAAAACACAGAGAGAAAGTGGCACTAAAGAAAAGAAGTATGAAGAAGTAAAAGTGCCAGTTATAAAAACAATCACAGGGATGTAAAGTACAGCATAGAAAATACAGTCAATAATAGTGCGACACCTATGTATGGTGCCAGGTGGGTACTGGACTTAGTGGGAAGATCACCTGGCAAGTCTAACCACTATGATGTACACCTGGAACTGATACAATGTTGTATGTCCATGTAGTTGAAAAATAAATTTTAAAAATAAAATTTAAAAAGGGAAAATAATAAAAGCTAACTTTCCAGAATGTCTATGGTGTTGTCCATCCTGGTCCGATGAACTCTAGTGGGAGTCGGGTATCATGTGGTACCCACATGGATAAGCTCTCCATCTCCATTTACTGTTTTTAAAGCCTCCCCTGAAAATATGTTTATTGATTTGAGAGAGAGAGAGAGAAGCACTGATAGGCTGCCTCCTATATGTGCCTCCAGCAGGGTATCGAACCCGAAATGTAGGTACGTACTCTAACTGGGGAGAGATCAAACTTGCAACATTTTGGTCTATAGGATGATGCTCCAACCAATGGAGCCACCCCACCAGGGCCTACCTGTACTTTGATTGAACTGGAGATTGGATTCTTTCTTTACTCATCCGATTCTTTCTTAGATTTTGAGACTGGAGACACCATTTAGCTGCCTGAAGAGAAAAGCCAATATGAAAAGAGAAAGAGAGGGAATGAGGGTGAGGGACATCTAGAGATCCCATGAGCCTGAGGGGGGTGGGCGACGGGGAGGAGGAGAGTAGCTGCTTTGCTCCATGATGTCATTCTGGTCCTTGGTTGTAGTCTTTTTATGAATCTGAGGCCCAGCTGCACCATCTGCCCTTGGACACTGTGAGATGTTTTTGGATTCTTCTCTTTCTGTTTGAGCTAGATTTAGTAATTTTCTGTTACTGGCTACTGAACTGTCTGGGCAGTTATTTTTTAACAAGGCAATCCTTTGCAAGGGAGGTTTGCATTAGAAAAGATTACTGCCAGTCTCTAAGACCCGTGGGGTAGAAACACAGGGCCGCCAGGGACATGCCAGCGAAGGCTGTCCTCCCCTTTGTTCCAGGACCCCTGACCCAGTGCCAGCCGCCACTTTCGTCGAGCCTTCCCAGGTCCTGCCTGGAACTCGCGATTGTTCTGATGAAACTGGTGCCAAGATTTTTCTGAATGGAAACTCCATCTGGCTTTGGAAAGAGTTTTCACGTGGATTCAGGGTTTCCATGAGTAACAGCCTCTGAAGATCCAAAACATACATTTACTTTGCCAAGTTTCCGTGGGTGGGTGAACAAAAGCGACCCAGAGGACCATGGTCCTGACCATCACCCTCGGAATGCAGCACAGGAGGGCTGAGCCCCGGGCCTGGCTGTCTCGTTGTCTGATTTAGCAGGTGGATTCTTGCTCTGTACTGTATGTGTGTGTCTCAGGTGGGGGAGGCTGACTAAGGAGAAAGAGAATTTTGGTAGAGCCACAGTCAAAAGAGGAAAAGTAAAGAATTAGTGTTGTTAGGCAACTACAGAGGAAGGATGTCTAGAAATGTGTTTCTACAATCTATTGCTTGGGGACAGAAGTATGTATGTATTCCTTCCCTGGAGCAATTTCCAATGCCCAGTACATAGCAGAACCTCCCATGAAGCTTGCTAAGTAATGCGGTTGCCTGAGTGTCCTTGGGGGATGCTGACTCAGTATCTCCAAAGTAAGAGGTGGGGCCCCTCGGGCTACATTTTGGAATGGTCCTTGATGGGGATTCTGTTATCATCAGACCTCAACAAAAAGCCCTCCTCCCATCCCATCAGCCTCCCATCTGTGGACAGTGAGGTCAGGCCAGCAGGGCTTGCTTTCGCATGGATGTGGTTGGAAGCTGCTGGAGTAATGGAAAGAAGGCTGGATTTGGAGTTAGATAATCCTGGGTTTAGGTTCTGGCTCTGATCCCAGCTGCCACGACCTGAACATCCCAGGGTTCTCTAGCTTAGGGGCGTGTTATTGCCCAGACCACAGGGTCCCTAGCCCACACCTGCCGTCACGAAGAAGGTAATCTGGGGAGTCCCCAGAAGATGGGTTTGTAAATCTGGAGTTCAGCCCTGGTTTCCAGTTACCTTCATTACTGCTATCCCCCAGATAGTCTTGCCCTCGTAAAAATAATGAGTTAAGGTTTAACAAGTGGTGTTCTCAACTGCCTGGCAGGGTGTTTCCCATTAAGCAGGAGCAACTGCTGTTGGTTTCTGCTGTGTTAAGATCCTTCATGCTCAGCAG